CTTTACTCTTTCAAAGTAGTTTCCCTGTGTATCAGCTCTTTACATGAAGGTGCCTGCAGAGAGTACGAGAGCAATTCCACTCATTGACCTGACCTTGGTCGCAGACCCTTAGTCTGTGGGCAGAAGAGATCTAACCCGTCTCGGGAAAAGGCAGGTACTCCTGTGCTATGTAATCTGTTGGCTGGATAAGCCATGCACAGCAGCTCCTGTAAGACATCAGACTGAGTTTAGGAGTGGTGGCTGAATTGCTGAACATTGGATTGAGTGTGTCTCCAAACGGTTGCATTAGGAGATACCTTCAAGACTGAACAGGCTTCAGATATAAAGTACCAATGAAGTTGAAAAAGCTTTCTAACTTTGTGGTATTCAGATTTGGACACAAACTTTGTATCAACTGTAGCTTCTAATGCTTTCAGCCAAAACCTGCCTGCCTTAGATGCTCCTAGCTTGTAGTTCTTGGCTAAACTTCAGTACTTAAAATCTGTTGCTGATGTCTTGAATAGAGCTGAATTATAGCTTGCATTACATCTATTGCAGTCAAGTCTTGATATTTAATCTCTGGAGAATGTGAAACTTGTCAGTTCTGAGCAGAAATTCCCTCTGATCCCTTTAAAGACCTGGAGGGTCTTTATTATTTTGGGGTTTGAATAGGTTATTTCTCCAAGGCACCCTGTTTACTTAGGATGTCTACCCTGTGCTGGTTTCTGCACTCAGACCATTGCACTTGGCATAGTAGGGTGCTTGAATGATGTGTTTATGCAGGCAGGAGGCATGATTTAATACCATCTCATGATTCACCATGCAGTTCTATTAATATGAACTTTACTCAGGGGAATGAGTAGCTGTTCCTTGTCAGCAAATCCCGTGTGTATTAGGGGAGTGAAGTTGTATTGAAAGATCCTCACAGTGATACTCTGCTGTTCCCAAGGGAAACAAGTGAAAACTGTACTTTGATGAATAATGAATGTGCTAATTGGGGTCAAGAAGAAGTCATAGCTTCCTATGATACAGCAGTCAGAGTAGCCTGACTACAGCAATAAAGAGAAGTCTGTCTGACCAGATTTGGCAATAAAAATATGTTGCTATCTGTTCTCTCCACTCAACCAAAGCCTGATAGATGACAGTGACAGGCAGGTGGCTTGTCTGTTCTAGAATACACCGTTATGTGCCTGAGATCCTGTTTCATGCATGCTGGTGTCAACAAGAAGATGGCTGTGAACTGATACAGAGTGAGACTGGTTGTGTGCTCAATTATTGGCAAAAATCCTGTGTGGGATAGATGATAATCTATCATGGCATTTCTTGGGTGTATCAGTAGGATTCATTAAGAGTGGGTATTGATTAGGAGTCAGTCTCTTCCTGATTTGCAAGGAAAAATATGTTTTATTGCTGCTGGTCTGTATTTGCAAATGAATGTACTCCAAGGGGAAGATTACAGCTTGTTCCTATCTGTTGGCAAAATACAGGCAAAAATACGTATTTCTTGGGCATCTTATAGCCAGCACACAAAAGAGAAGAACATGTGAATGAGAAGGAAGAAATGTGAAAGTACAGTAGTACTACATATTTAGTGAAATACATATATGTAGCCTGACTTTTTAAAAATAAAGGTATGTGTGGTACTGCTTATCATTATGCTGCTGGAAGATGTATGTCATTTTCAGTAGTTTGGCTATGTAACTACATGATGTCAAACAAACATGATTTCTTGAAAGTGTTCTACATTTCATATAAAATTTTCCTAACTGTTTAACTTCACATGAATTGGAGGCTTATCTCAACTTTTTAAGATATAGCAGATAAACTTAAGAGCAGAGTGGTGAAAGGTGTCTGAAGTAGCCTGGAGATGGGAGAGTTTGTTCTCAAAGACGCCAATAGTGAAAATACAACTGATTTTGTATGCTATCCAGCCAATAGGAATTATATAGTAAAAGCCAGTGTGGAACTCTGTATAAAAAAGGAAAACAATGTGGTGCTCATTAAGACATAAGAAACATAGTGAAGACCTTTACAACACATCTTCAACATTGTGATTAAGTGGTAGCGTATGCATGTCAAAATCAACTCTTGGTAGTTCATGGAATCATAGAATGGTTTGGGTTGGAAGGGACCTTGAAGATCATCAGTTGTTCACAGTAGTAGCTAGGGTAGGAGTACACTGAAGTGAGTCCTTGAAGGTGATGGCAGGTACTGCACAGTTGCTGAAGTAGTAAAAGCGTGTGTTGTGGGGCAATGCAAGGAGGGAAAGGAGAAGTGATCTTTGTGGGAGCAATCTGCTCCTAATAGGTAAGGTAGTTTTCAAATAGAAACTTTAAGTTCGTAAGAAAAATGTGTTAATACCAAATGTGCTGAATCCCACAAGTGTTCCACGTAGTTGAAAAAGATGGGCTCTCCCATTTGTGAACACTTTCTATATCCTTGCTAGTGTAAACTGAGATGCTTAATAAACTCGACAAACGCTGACAGCATCCACAATACTCGTATCAGCATGAGATCAGTAGATGTCTTTGATTTCTATATGTGGTATTTTCTACTTCAAAAGTCACTAAAGTATCCATGTTGTATTTTGGTTCTGTTGTTAAGTGTAATGGGAGTTGGCTGGGGAATTGATACTTGGAATGAACAGCTCCTACATGTACTTCAAGCTTTGCTTGAAAGAGTGGAATTGAGTCAGCAGCTGAGAACAAGGGTCAAGTCTGGAGAGGGCTTCTGGTGCCCTTGAAGAGCCTTTTGTCTCAAATGGTTTTTGCAGAAAGGTGGAAATGCTCTTTGGAAGACAAGTGTAGTAGTTATGAAAGTGGCAGCAGTCATGGTTGGGAGAGTGCGGGAAGACGTGCAGAACAGCGTTTTCTACCTACCAATATTTAATTTAATGCCCTGGGTCTGCTTACCTCAGGCAATGCTAATCAGTGGCAGCTAACCTTGTCTTTTAGAGCATGCATGGTGCTGATCTGGTACTGATCTTTTTAGGGACAATAATCTAAAGTTGCTGTGGACAATGGAAACTACCAGGAGACTTGGAAACTACTTTATTCTCTCAGTTCTGGGTTTTCCTTTACCAGAAAACCACTGAGAAATCTTAAAGAGAAAATTGAGAGGATTTGGAGAATAGGAAAGGTGGCCAGAAAAATGGAAGGCTTGAAGAGGAGCTTAAAGCAATGAAATATGGTATTGCAAAAGCTATGAAGAGGGTGCCAAAGTGGTACTAGAATTATTTATGTTTTGTGAGAATGGAAAGTTAGGCTAATGTCAAAAGGAAGTAGAAATTATTTGAAGCTTATTGGTGTTGTATAGCATTTGGAAGAACCATCGTTTGTGGTATTTTGAACCTAGATGTAGACATTAGGAAGAATTAATTATTTGTCAGAAAGATGGTCTGAATAGATTACTTCTGTCAGGATCCAATTAGAGCATACATCACTGATTGGCACATGACTGCATTGCAGGGATCTGCCTTTTCCAGGCAATGTGGCTCTGGAGAAATTGCTAAAGTCTTTTATCTTGAACCATAGCAAAACTAGACATCTGCTTTTGTCTGTGGGAATATTTTGTTCATTGTCTAATGCTCCATTTAGGTATTATATGCAGGTGGGATCAAAACTTTGACCCTTCTTGCATAGTTTTTATTTTCTTGTTCTACCTGAATGTGTAGCCCAGTTTCAGGCATACTTCTGGCTTTATTTCCTTCTCGGTACATCCATAATGTAGAGTAGTCTCTGTTTCCTTCCCATTTCAAATGACTTTTTAGCAAGTCTGTGATGAAGTCACTATTAGAACACTTCTGTCAGTAGCTTTAGTTCTGTGCTAAAGTATCAGATTATGGCATTAGACTGCTGGGCCTGAAATACGTATTTTATGACCTTCTACTAGTTCCTTAGCTTGCTTAACCTATGCTGTTCACCTTTAATACCAGCTTCTTTCTGGGAGTCAAGTTTATACCAGGACTATTCTGTCAGATTTTGGAAGTTTGATTGTTGTTAATTGTAGAATAATTATAGTCTCTTATGTTAACCAGTTCAAATAATATGTTGTATTATTGGTGCAAGAATAGTCTTTAATTAACAAGTTTTATAAAGGTGTGTATTGCACGAGCTTCTTGGCTATGATTCAGGTAGTATCAGCTGGGATTTTTCAGTCCAATGTGACTAAATTCTTATATTGGTGCTAATTTTTAAAACTGCAGATTCATTTTCATAACTAATACCTGCCTTTTAGCAAAATTCTGCAGAAATTAAAAAAAAACAAGATGGTATAATTTATTTCTGTATAGATGTATTTTATACATAAAACTAGTTGTCATGCATTTTCTTGTTCTTTTCTCATCTTTCATTTTTAAAATCAGTTTTCAGTTTCAGAAAATATTTTAATGAAAAAAAAAACCCTATGGGTTTGGAAACATAGCTGAAAGAAACATGCCCCCTATTAGCATACTGAAAATGGCTTAATGTCATTTTTTTTTTTTAAGCATTACAATTTTCTAGAGTTTAGTGCAAGTGCAATGCTCTCCCCTTTTCCACCCACACACAATTTTTTGCAGGGAGTAAGAATCCTGGAGTAGGCAGGACGTAAGTAGTGTCAACATCAGTGGCTTCAGACAGGTGATTGATGTGCATAGTACTGACCGTTCTGGATTTGTCCTACCAAAAACATTTGGGCTCGTGCTTAACCTTAATCATGCTAGAGGTCCAGCTAAAGTGAAACAGCATTATTAGTGTATTTAATCCTCTTCTGGCTCATTCTCTGAGTCCTCAGCACTCTTTATGGTCAAATTTCATGTATTCAATATATTATTGCAGAACAGGAGTGACCGTTAATGCTAACTAATGGTGAACTGTAAAATGTAAGACAAATTTTCTTTTTGTGTGGCTGGGAGGGAGAAAAAAAATATGTTGGTATAAACTGGTGAAGCTGATGTAGTTGCATTGGCATAAGTTCAGAATTTGGCATGGGGCGGAGATGTGAGTAAAGCTGTATTGTACTTCTGTGGTTTTGATTCACAGAGGTTTGTGCGAACTTAGGTAGCTGGTGCACACATGGGACATCATCAAAGAGCCCAACCAGAAAGTCAGAGCTTGGATTTGGAGTGCCGTATGGCTATTTAGAAGCATGTTGTTATAGTGGGGCAAGCAAAACATCCTTTCATTAAAACAGGTAACTACAGTTTATTTTCAAAGTTTGTTTTTATATGTTACAGTCTGCAATGTAGCAAATATAAATGCATTTTAGATGTTTGATATTTTCATTATTCTAGAATGTTTATACTGCTTGCAAAGGACTGGAAGGGTCCTCCTGTAAGGTGCTGAGTTCAGACTGCCGCTACTACTGGCATTGTATAATTTTCTTTTATGGGCTATCCTTTTTTGTTACTGTGGATTTAGAAGGCAGTGCTGGACCCTCACTTAGCCAGCACTAAAATACTTTTTAAAAATACTTGGAAAATATTTGCAGCCTAGATTTATTCATAATTAGTTTTTCCTTGATATTTAGTGGGTCAGGATTGTCTTTGGCTTAAACAGTCTCTCTCCTGCTGTTTTCTTCACTGTTAACAGATTGTTTTGTTAGGATAAACAAATAAGACTTTTTTTTGGTTCCCGTTACAACGTAGTTGCTCCATTCCCCTGAACAACACAGAAAGGACTTTCTCTACAGCTCTTTTAGTAGAATTTGACCTTTTTTTTTTTTTTTTTTTTTTTAATGTGGATGAAGGGAACTGTATGGTATTGTTTAAGAAATTAAGAAAATTAATTGAGAAATAAAATTAAGAAATACGTATGATAATTTGCCTTTTCAGATTTGCATCACACTAGGAGCTCAAATTCCCTGAACAGGTACAAAGAGGTTCTGCTTTTCTTCCTCCCAAGTTTAGAACTGAAGTTTCTGTTAAAAACAGAAGCATGACCTTATGTTTTGTAAGGTATTGAATTTCATCCCATTTCTATTAATGCAGTCTGTAAGATTGAGCAATTCTTTCTATATAATATTCTTATCCTTCTCATTCTTGACAGTACCTTCCAACTTTATGTCATTAGGAATTTCATCAGCATGTTGCCTTGTGCCAAAATTATTAATGAAAATGTTAAGCAAAAACTGTCCCAAAACAGATGACAGAAAAGCTTCCCTTGAGCCTGTGCTTCCCTGTACAAGTCATCTTGCTCCTTAGATTTTCTAACATCTTATCAAGTACATACATGCTGAAACAAAAAAAAACTACTAGGTATTTTTCAGAGCAAGTTAACAATCCTTAGTCCCACTGGAGTTATTTGAGCAAAGCTTGCAGAGAATCCATTTTATAATTTCCATTCCTAGGTGAAAGAAATCTTCTTTCTATTCAAATGCAGCTCACTCTGTTAGACTAAACAAATAGGTAACAGTTAAAATGAACTTTTTTTTTTTTTTTTTTTTTTTTTAGAAATGAGATTCTTCTAAATAAGTTGTAATGGCAACTTGCTTTCTTGTATATACCTTTTGTTTATGTATTTCTTGCATGACAGTTAATAACTGGTTTTGTATTGGAATTTATGAAAATCCTTTGGCCAACCTGCAATGTGTCAGTGTACTGTGTGCTTAATAATTGAACTGCAGGGTTCTGTTCCTTAATAAGAAAAGAGCAAGATATATGATTAATAGCTAAGCATAGTCAGATAACTAGTGTGAACAGTATTATCCCCAGCAGAAAAGTGAAGCAATTCTGTAACAGGAGATGGAACTAGGTAAACACCACTTCATCATGTGACAATTGCTGTCCTCGTTGGCAGTCTCTCAAAGGAGCATCAGAGAGGGTCACAATTCAACATCTAAAGTTAGAAATGGTGTAAGGCTGATAGTAGCGCAGGCCAACATGCAGTTGCTAAGGTAGATTTCTAAATCATGCAACACGGCTGCCTTGATACATGAGAATCAATTACTGAAAACCTTTCATGATGGTCAAAATGTGACATTAAATAATTGAGTATCACATCAAATCTTGTCTGCAATTAGTTATCTAGAAAAGTAATTATGCAACAAAATCAAGTAGCTGAAATTAGTGATGTGAAGCACCCTGGTTATTCAAAGATTGTAGGAGAGGATTTTTTTTTTTATTATTTGTAACATGAAGTTTTATGCATCTAACTAATTCTTTATTGAATTTTAAAAATTTTGCTCAATTGTAATTCATGTCATTAGTTGTATCTGCAATGGAAGATGCATTGCACATGAAACAGGTGTTAATGACGAAGTTTGTTTTGTCTAAAGTAAACATGATTAGCTGTGGAAGAGAATGTCTTGCAAATAGTACCTTAAAAAGCAAATCTGTTTTGTTTAGGGGGGAAAACAGCCTGAATTTTGTTTTTTTGTCTCTTACACTAAGAGTGTAAGTTTAATCGAAGAACAGATATGAAATACTCTAAAGGTCAAATTCATTCTTTTTAAAAAAGCTGTGATAAATGTAGCAACGTAGATGTTGTGAAAGGTTAGAAAAGCCATTGAAATATAATTTGCACTAATATAAGTAGCTAGCTTGCATTAGTTAGCTCAAATATCCAAAATAACCAAGGAAAATATAACGAATCAAAACAGCATATGTATCCAGTGTACCAGGCTTAAGTTTAAACTCTCCCATGAATATTGTTTAACAGCTTATAAATACAGGGAAACATTTATTTACACAATCATGATTATTTTTTAAATGGCTTGTGATAGTAACTGTTGCCATATATGTGCCAGAACTGATAGGAAAATTAATCGGTAGATCTGTGGAGAAATTGATCTGTATGTGTATAGTACTTAAAAATCTGAACTGACAAAGGGTAGTTGGTCAGTCATGTTACTTAAGCTGGTCCCAAAATAGCACCTTCCTTTTTTGGTAGAGTTAGGTTTGCAGCTGTTGTCTCTATCTGTTGTCTCTGAAGAAAATTTTAACATTAAGAGTTGCTGACGTCAATTTTTTTCTTTTTTTTACAGCTGATGTGGGCTTTGCCCCTGACAGAAGTTATTTGGTTCTAGCTCTGAGTTTGGAAGAAGTTGGTATATAGATTTTCCCCTAACTTTCAATTGATGTGTTTAGCTTTAGTGGGAGTAATACTATCACTTAAACCATGTTGTCGTCTCAAGGAGTTTTGCTACATCCATATGGAGTGCCAATGATTCTGCCGGCAGCACCATACTTCGCTGGACTTGTTCAGGTAATGCAAGGCCGCTTCCAACAAGCAACTTAAGTCTAGTGCACTTAGAGTAATAATTGGAATTTTTGTGGTTCAGAAAGCAAACACTTTTAATACAGGCAAAAGCTCTCATGTAGTCAGTGCAAAGACAGTAGGAAATCAAAAAGATGGATCACCCTAATCTGTGTATTGACATCTCTCATGGCTGAATAAATGGTGTAGTTGAGCTATATTTGCTTGTATTGATTTGTCTGCTGTTTAACATTCATGCCTTTGCTTCACGAGGTTGACCACAGGGCAGAGGATTTGCTATCCATTCTAGGTTTCTGAGGGAGTCAGCATTCCCACGGCAGGTCATAAGACAAAGTAACTTACCATGATGTGTTTAGGTTAAGTGTTTTAGCACAGCAAATATGAATAGTGTTAAATATGCATTCATTCGTATGTTATGCATCACACGGAATGAAAAAGGGTTTGTGTTGTTGTGTGTATAGAAATATATCACCTTCGCAGAGTATTTGTGCACATCATATTAATTCTTTTGAGCCCTGAAAGCGTAAGATTTTGCTTCAGGGCAAGAGCTCTGTATTTTAGAAGTTAAGTGGCAATTACTAGATTTAGTTGTTGTTGTTGTGCTGTCTGGTTTTGATTTTATTTTATTTTTATCACAACTTGTTATTACTGAATTTTCTGCTGTTAGATATTAACAAAGCAGAAAGTATTCTGGTGTTTACAGTATTAGAAGACGTTATTAAAGAATTCAAGTAACATTTCCAAGCACTGACAAAATGAAACAAAACCAGTGTACCTTATAAATGGCAGTAGTTAGATATTATGCATTGAAGAGTCAAGAGAGACACTTGTGTATTATGGCATTTCTGTGTCACACCAGTGATCAGTCAAATTAACTGCGGAGGAGAGGCAAATTTTCATTTTGCTCCTTTACTACAACAGTTAGCTGGTGTAGAGGGGCAGTCACAGCACAAAGCAGATTTCTTTCCGTACAGGTTCATTTGCTAATCAAAGACTGAGTGTTGTGTTCTTCACTTCAGGCTTAATATCAGACACATATGTCTGAACCAGAAACACAGCATTGCACAGTGGCTGTTATCAGGTATTGAAAAACTGTGTCTTCTGGGACATGCAAGCTGATGCTATTTTTTTATGCAGTGAGACGCTGTAGCACACTTGAACACATCAAGCAGGCCTTCACATCCGTTAGAATTTGGGGGTGAAGGTCGGGCGCTAGAGCTCAGTCAGACCCTGTGCCATCCTGTCCAATAAATAATTACAAGCAAATCGTGCCTTTCACTCTGTGCTGATTGATGTTGAAATTGCTTTTGAAAGTTCTCATAAGTTCCTGTTATAGATTAAGTGCCGGTATAGGAAAAATAACTGCACCCAACTGAAATGGGTGAATGTAATCAGGTTTAATGGACTCGAGAGCTTGTTGGGAATTAAATAACTATTGATTTGTTGGAAAGTTGCTGTCATTACAAAATGCCACTCTGGACACATTATCCAAGCAGATAGATTAGAAGAAAGGGCCCTTTGAAAATTTGGGATGCCTTATTTCAATCTTTTTTTTTCTTTCTTTCTTTCCTTAGAAAGATAAATCCAGGCCTGTGCTACTCCGTTAGCATAGGTCTAAAATAGTCAAGCAATAAGAATTGTTCTACAAAAAAAATAGGTATGTTTACAGGTACAGTTGAAAAATATTCTTCATATGGATACTTCTCTAGTCTCTCCTCTCCCTCTCCCTAATGTCATAACTGAAAATTGCATTTTGGAATCAAAACAAATGTTTGAATTATTGTCGTAGTGGGTGAACTAGAACATTACATGGTTTAACCACTTTCTTGCCCCAATTTTTATCTGCATTTGCAGTATCTGCAGTCAGTTTTTGATACTAGAATGCTTATTGTTTGTCTCTTAGGTTTACTCTGTCAAAAATAATGCAAAGGACACTTGATAGGCATATTTATGTCATCATCTTCTAAGCAGTAATTATATAATGTTCAAAACTTTAATGGAAATTTTCTTAAAAATATGCCTTGAGAAACTGATTATGAAAATATTTTTACTGGGTCGCCAGTTGAGAGCCACAACCCTAAAGTATTTGCAGGTATGAGGCTCTTTTAACATTTTAGAGGCTTAGAAGATTGCAGTTTATTTCTTTGCATGGATTTCTACAGAAAGTAGATGTATTCCCCATGATTACCAAGTGGATTTACACCAACACTGCATATGTAAACAGTGTAGAGTATTACATAGAGATTTCAGGGACTGCTTTGGGTTTTTCACATTTTTTGTTGCATGGTTGAGCAAGAGAAAGCTGAGATCTCTGTGCAGGACTGTTAGTCTGCAGGGTTCTGCACCTTCAAGCACTGTATGTTACTTTATGCTGTGTATGTGCAGCCTTTTCCAGCCTCTTCTCCTAAATTCATCAGTAACCTGTCCTACATCCTCTGCTTGCTTTTGTCACACCTGCTTGTTACAGGGTACTGGAACGTGCAAAACTTAGGACAAACAAACCATGGTAGATACTGTGGATACATCTCTGGAAACACTTTAGATAAACAGCCAGGTATATTTTCCCAATTGCACATATAATTCTATTAAGAAGATACTATCTCAGTAAAAGGAATACAAATGCTTGAGTGATGCTGAAAAATGGAATGTGTATGTTCTTGGAGTGAGAGAAGGTAGTTCAGGGCTACAGATATATTAAAATGTATCAAGTTATGTTAAATATACTTGCAAACTTAGTTTTATTTCCCAATAAATAAATATACCTGAAAAAAAAACTTACCAGAAAGATGGTGTTATTATTGCCCATGATTTCTTAACACATCTTTTAATGAGAAAAATAAAATATCTTTTCCTCTCCCTCCTTCCCTACTGGGTGAAATTGTAGGAGGAAAAAAAAAAATCACATGAAAGTACAAAGGATGCATAAATAGCGTTATGCCTCGTGGGCGGAGAGGTGTTTTCTGACTTGGCACAAAAGATGTACTGGTGGCTTCACAGGCTGTCACAGTTATGCTGCCATGAGGACCAACGCAGTACTGCAGTCCAGCAACCGCACATGCTGTGGACAGCAAGGCTTACTTTGTGTCAAAACTGTCATGCTGTTTCTTGTGGCATGTGAGATAAAAAAAAAAAAAAAAGCCATAGAGGATTAAGTGGCAATCCAGCAAAAGATGACTTATCATGCCCTTGGTTCATATCCCAGTTTTGTTATTTGATTCCCATGGGGAACCCTTCTGTCCACATAAGCAGCGAGGGCGGTAGGATGTCACATGGAAAAGATCCATCTGCATTGGCCAGAGCATGGGACCGTGTCCCTACTCTCAGGAAGTGTGGCTGGGTGCTACTGTGCTGTCTTAGGTGTTCTCAGAATTAACAGGTGAAACAAAGTTCTGTTTATCATTAAAATTACCAAGTGAACATCAAAAAAACTATTTTGCAATTCATAGAAGATTAGTATGTTTTGTAGAATAATAAGTTAAATGTCTCCATATTAGTTTCATCTTTCATAGCTTTGAGTGTTTAAGTATTTAAATCTTTGCAATTGCTCTGGATACTTGGAATGCTAGGATAGTGATAAAAATTTTAAAAAACACAAATGCAATATATGACGTTTTACTGATGGATGCTGGATTATTTATAACATGGCTGGTTTAGGTGGCTCAACTTCCATTTAGCAGAGAAGGAGGAGGTCATATGCATTATTATACAAATTCCTAAAGTTGAAATTACTTACAGTTTCCATCAAACCACAGGCAAATTTTAAATAGAGAGACAGTTGTATTTAATACAAAATGCACTACTTAAATTTAAAGATTAAAAAAGTGGGCTTTTTTTCTGAATACAGTCAGAATTTTTTAAAGTATGCTTTTATTTTAGCATAGTGACCAGAAGAGCTCTAAGATTTTTGAGGGTTTAAGCTTATGTTCATTGTTAAAGACTTCAGCCAGAAAATAAGAACCTTTTCTTCTGCTTTTATATGCTTATAAATTTGTGTGATGGTAAAGAGGGGTAGGAGAAAAGTAGGAAATACATGGCTGTTGGTTAACTATTTTAATAAACTGGGAATTGCCATACTTGTAAGTACATCATTCTTAAGCTTCAGTTATTCTTAAGATGCTTTGATTATATCTGTGCATCTGATTTTCCATAACTGGTTAACTAGTGTGTTTGATTGACAACTGGAAAAGTGGTAATCTGGAGACAGTTCCATTTTATTTTAGGGCGAAGTGAGATTGTTGCCTAGAATATGCTGTGAAAGTAATGTTGCGGAGTTCTTCACAGTTCCATCTTTACCCGTCTGTAAAATCCTCGTTTTAACGCTGTGTTGGGAAGTGCTAGCAGCGAATGCCTCCAGAATACTTGTAGATGCTAGTGTGGTAAGCTACCTGCAAAGTCACACTTACTTTCTGGCAAGAGTTTGGGAAAATGTGGATATGTTGTGTTGCCTCACATTAAAAAGGCTTTTGTAATTTAGTCATTTTTATTTGAATAATGCATTTGAAATAGAAATGATGAGAGGTTTTAATACTTCCCATGTTGCCTGAAATGTATGAGTTGCTTCGGTTGTTTTTAGATTAGGATCTAGTGGAATGCAGTGCATAATTTCTGTTTACATTGCCTGAATTGCCTGTTTGAAATGCAGTAAGCAGATCATTTACCTTAGATGCAGACTTATCTGGCTTGATTGTGTTGTGCTGCCTTTGCAAGTGATAAGGGTCTCCTATTACTAGTACTGTACTCCCGGCACTTGGTGAGTGGAGGACTAAGGTGTTTTACTACTGCAATCACTTCCCTTCTGAGGGTGGATTTTGTTCTGGTTTTGAGAGTGTATCTAAAATTTCTTCTCTCAGCCTAAGAATAGTGGAGTTTTTCTCCCTTCTGTATCAAAAGCACTTTTAATAGGAGATTTAAGGTGGTGGTGATAATGATGAATGTGGTCTGTATTACTTTGTTTCCAAAAAAAATCAGTTATCAATGTTTAAACCTCTGGAAC